CCAATCTATACCCCGCTGGGCACGTGCATAGATAAGATCCATTTGTGTTTGTACAATTGAACTCACACGGACTAGATAAACACTCATCAATATCTTGACAGCTTACATTATCTTCGTCCAGTCTGTAGCCAACAGGACATGAGCAGTGAAAACTGCCGTTTGTGTTTTCACAGGCATACTGACAGTGACTTGACAGGCATTCGTTTATGTCTTGACAAGTTCCGTTATTGTCTGTGTAACCAATGTTACATTGACAGACAAATGAGCCAATCGTATTGTTGCATAGCTGATGGCAAGGTTTGGTTGAGCATTCATCGACGTCGACGCATGTATTGGTGGAGGTGAGTTCGAATCCTTTAGAACAAGAGCATGTGTAGGAGCCAATCGTGTTCGTACAGATTTGCTGACACGGTCGTGTTGTGTTGCACTCGTCAATATCTACACATGTGTTATTTGATGAGGGTGTATACCCTTGATAACAGCTACAGCTGTACGATCCTTGTGTGTTAGTACACACTTGTGGACACGGTTTTGTTGTGTTGCATTCGTCTACATCATCGCATGTGTTATTTGATGTTAGACTGAATCCGGTATAACAGCTACAGATGAATGAGCCTGGTGTGTTAACACACACTTTCTGACAAGGTCGTGTCGTGTTACACTCGTCCACATCCACACACGTGTATCCATCACTAGCCAGACTGTACCCAGAGCCACAAACCACCGAACATTTATCACAAGTCACTTCTCCAAGTTTACACTGCTCCAAAGGCTTACACAAAAACGGATACGTATAAGAGCACGACATATCCCTCAACCCTTTATCAAAAGAACGCAAATCTATTCTCGCACAGCAGGGGCTGTTGTATGTTGAAAGTTTACAAACATCACTAGGATCCAATGTAGCCCATACGGATAGGGCTACTGTCTCGTTCTTCCAGTATTGCTCATATATCGTATCTTTATTATCATCTTTAACAATAATCTGTACCCAAAATTCACCGACAAGACTACGCGTGGCATTGACGTAACTATCCATATAAGTCTCTACAATCCTGTACTCAGCGTTGGTGTCAAACAAAGCCAGCTCAGCGTTGATCTCAGCACATTTGTTCCTGGCTGTGGTCTCGTTGACCCGGGTTCTAGAGAAACAGTACGTTAGGCCGTTGACCGTTACATTCTCAAAGTTTGAACACAAGGCCAAATTTATAAACGCAAGTGTCCCTGCAAAGATAGATACATGTTATAATGGGCCCGGCTTGACTTAATTACTGCTACTGTGACTATAGTAAATATTTCGCTGTAAAAGATAAGGGCTCAATGTCTATAATCATTACAGATTTTTGAATATCTCTTTAACAGTATGTTTCTCTCTGTCTATATACAAAACTCTAATGGCATAATAATTTTTCTCTTTTCCACATACCTCTGGTGGGATGAAGTAATGGTTGAGCATAGGACTGCTAACCCTAAAGCCGCGCCTTAGAATCCTAGTTTAAGTACGTAGAATGTCCTTGAGTCCACCCAGTTATAATTGATACCTAACTCACGTTAAGGGAAGTTGAGACGGCTCTCCATTGTGCTGACTAAAAATATCCCTTCATATGCCGAGGTCGCAGAGGCAGGTGAACTCTACTTCACTTCCCCATGGACCGTCAGATTTGAAAAGGTTGATGATATTTTATACATAATTACTATATTAAATGTGTAGTTCTGTCTCAACTTTCAGTGATTTCCGGTAACCGGAAGTGGATTTTATTCAACTTTTAATTTTTCAAAAGCCTATAACTTGAGTACTATTTCAGATAGATGAACGACATTTCACTCATAAGTAAAAGATCTACTTTTCTGCCTTCTCTCAAATTTTGAGTAATTTCCGTTGAACGGAAGTAGTAATTTGAGCTATTTCCGATTTCTCAAAAAAACGCATGTGAATTTAAAACGTACTAATAATATTCCGTACTATTAAACACATATTATTAAGTGTTAACTTGGTGCGCAATTCTTTTTTAAAGGAGATTCTATTCTACTTTAAAAAGTAGAAGTAATTTAAAAAATCATGTCTTTTTTCCGAGTTGCCATCCCCGTAGTGTTATGTAACTATTTTTTGAGAAATTTAGGGGATATCATTTCCGGGTTGTTTACATCCCTCTTGCTATTTAAAAGAATTGTCTAAATTTTTATGTTCTTTTTTTTTTAAAATTAAAAACACTGAATTTGATACAGTAAATAATGTATAATACATGTGAACAAAACTTTTATCTAATCAACTATTTAAACCAAACGTCTCTTCCTTGTAAACACTCAATTAAATTACCACTTTACGCTAATGAATAAAATCAATTTCCACTTACCGAAAACACTTAAAACAAGCCTTGGTACAACAATCTTCTTCATTATGAAAAATTTTCCACTTTAAATTACCACGTTCTATTTCCTTTTAACCATTGATGCAAATAATTACATTTGAAATAATATTACTAGTAGATTTTATCGTTTAAAGTAAAATAATATAGGAGAAATTACAAATTTGTTCTACCAACTTCTCGAAGCGACGAAATCTATGCCACAAATGATACAGCGAAACTAAATTTCAAAAGACGTAATATAAGTAATCTATATCTGTTTTTTTATTAAAGCGCTTGTGTAAATATTAAACATTTATTTTAGTTAAACAATGAATCGCTTGAACCCGTTCATATATGACATCTATTGGAGTATTGATGTTATTGTCGTAGGGTGTAGTTTAAAGCATTGATTATAGTTTTCTTTCAAAGAAGGAGAATTGTAGTGTTTAAGTGGTGTACCTATCTTTTTAAAACATGTAAATAACATTGATTTTAACAAGGAATAGTTTATTTGAATTAAAGAAAAGATAGCATTTATATACGCATAGACACATATTTACATAAATAATATACTATAATGTAAATAAAATAAACATATATATATATATATATATATATATATATATATATATATATATATATATATATATATATATTATATTTAAAAGATTAAGTTGTGTAGCCTAACAATAAAATTATGTGTATAGATTTACATTATGGTTAAATTGCCTTTATTGTTACTAATGGTGCAAGAAAAACATCTGCGTGATTTTTTAAATTTAGATTTGAATTAGACAAAATTAATTGCCCTATTCATATAGAAGGCAATGCCCACAACAAAAGTAACGCTTTGAGGACCTCTGCGTGAGAAGCGAGAGATGGTGAAAATGTTTCCATGTCTATAGCGTTGGTGAATTTGATGTTTTTTTCTGGTTTACCTATAAGAAACTGAGTGAGTCGTAAATTCAGGTTTAGTACTTTTTTATGATATAAAACTTAAAAAGAGCTTAGGAAATAATTCGAAACAATTTTTTAAACCTAGATGGTATACATTTATTAATAAAAATGTTTAAGATCAGGGCGTATTGATACATTTCTAAACATGTATTGTAAAGCGTTCGTTTACATCATTTTAATTTAGATATTCGTGAATAATTAATAATTAATTTTTAAACCATCAAGTAAATTTAACTAAAGGTTCAATAATAGGGCTGGTAAGTAGGTCACCAACCAGTTCTATGGCTTATTTAGGTTTTATTGAGCCGTATAACTAGTTGGTGACCTACTTACCAGCCCTATTAAGACCAATGGATAATTGACGACTTTAATATTAGACTTATTTCCGCATCTTGCAGTAATCTACAGTTTTGTTTTCAAATGCATTTAAAATTGGATTAATTTTTACTCAAATTGTATTGAATATTTACATATATTTTATGTAACATGCAGCCGTGCGTGATGTTTGAGGTCACGTAAGTATTATAATTAAAAAACATGTTGTATTGGTACGTAGAGTGGCATCGTGCACGGAAATTGTACATATTATTAATATTAAAGTATTAAAAGCAGATACACTAATTTAAAAATTCACTTTTTTAATATACACTAAAGTAATATTTTACACACAAAAAAATGTGACTTTGAAAAAATACATATAAACACAGATATAAACGGATTTTTTTAAAAAATGTCTCTAATTATTAAAGTATAAGCCGAAAATTTAAAAAAAGTTACAAGATCAAAATTTAAAAAAATAAACTGGAAAGTCCGATTTAGTTCAAACAGAGCAATACACAAAACTTGTGCCTCAAGCTTATGCGCTTAGATCTACAGTTCACAAATCAATTTCTTCATAAACAGCCTCCTAATTTGCAACACATTAACGTGTCTATTTTCGTAGCTGTCTCGGTTACTGGGGGTAATCTTTAGCAATCTAAAACTTTACAGTCGACAAAATTTGAATAATCAATACTCTTGTTCTCTTTCTTCAATGGAATCAATATTGCTGTTTAAGTATATATAAATTATTGAATCGATTTTAGCCAAATTTACCTAACGTCATTTTGATTGACGTTTTTCAAATCATTATACATGTTTTAAGATTTATTAATCAAGCATTGGATGGGCTAAGGGAGCTAGTGTTTTGACACATAGATGTTAAAGAAATTACGGGAGAAAAAAATCTAAATTTCCTATTCTGAGGTCAATCAGCGATGTTAGAAAAGGGAGACATGCGAAATATCCTATTCTGATGTAAACATTTATATACAAAGTATATACAACAACCACTGTGCCGCCCCTTCCCGGTAATTTAGTCTCCCCTCCCCGGAAAGTTTCAAGTGCACCCCTCAGAAAATTTTTCCGAAATAATACACTGAACTTGTGTTAGTGACTGACAGGTAAACAATAAAGCAACTTCATTTTGTAATTTATGACTGAGTCATGGGTTTCTTTGACAATTGTGTGTCCTAGTTATTAGCCCAAGATCAGTCAATTGGATAAGTAGAAAAAAGGCGAAAGTTGTAAATCTTCAACCATATGACCAATAGTGTAGGTAAGTATGCAAGAATCATTGTTACATACAGTTATTAGAATTAAAATGTTACGCAAAAAAGTAGTTTTCACTTCGTTAAAAGATTTAAATTTATTCCCTCAAGTATTTCCAAATTTAACTTCTTTAATGATAAACCAAATTCCTGTAACAAAGTCCGGAAATATAATTATAGCCAGTGCTATAAGAATGATGACGATTCCTAGCAGACCAATGTATTCCGAGGCCGCCCGTTTGTCTTCAGCGCTGGTCAAGGTATTGATATACGATACGAGGTTCTTTCTAGACAGTATCAGAGAGTTACGAGTGTCCTCTATTCTTTTCAATACGGCGCTAGTGTTTTTAAGCTGGGATTGAAGTACCATAGAGGAACATGAACAGGGGCAATAACCTGGTATGGCGATATTAGAGCAGACATTGTTACTGCCCATTGTGTGTCCAGAAAAGCAAGAACATGCGTACGATCCAGGCGTATTGATACAGATTTGATGACAGATTGATTGATTTTCTTGACATTCATCGATATCATGACACGTTTTGTTGTCGGTTGTATCTAGACGGTATCCTGGCTGGCAGCTACAGAGATAGGATGACGGGATGTTGGTACACGTCTGGTCGCAATCGTTGGTGCCGTCTGTACACTCGTTGACGTCCGCGCATGTCCAGTTGTCTGGGTTGAGACTGTAGCCTTGTGTACAACTACATTTGTAGCTGCCTTCTGTGTTGGTGCAGATATCAGAGCAGTTGTTACTTCCAGAACATTCGTCAATGTCAAGACACAATGGTCCATCTACGACATATCCTGATGGGCATATACATTCATAACTTCCTAATGTGTTATTACACGTGCTATTACACACTGTCTCAATATTACATTCATCAATATCAACACACGAGCAAGCATCATCACCCAATGTGTAGCCTTGTTGACACGAACAGAGAAACGATCCTTCTGTGTTGTTACACATGTGTTGACACGGGCTATTCTCACATTCGTTGATATCAACACACGTTTTAGAATCGTTGGACAATGAGAACCCTTCATTACAAAAACAACTAAAAGACCCTGCAGTATTGTCGCATATCTGATGGCAAGGTGTAGACAAACACTCGTCTACGTCGTTGCATGTCATACCGTCAAGGGCAAGGATAAAACCTGGATTGCAAGTACAGATGTATGATCCGTTTGTGTTCGTGCACATTTGGTCACATGGGTTTGACAAGCATTCATCAACATCAACACACATGTTTTTTTGGATAAGTGTGTATCCAGTGTTACACATACAGTTGAAAGATCCAACTGTGTTAACGCATACCTGATCACACGGGAGTGTTGCGCTGCACTCGTCCACATCAACACATGTGTTGTTAGGTGACATTTCGTATCCCGTGTAACAATGACACGTGTAGGACCCTTGCGTGTTAACACACGCTTGTTGACAAGGTTTGGTCGTGCTGCATTCATCCACATCAACACATGTGTTGTTTAAGGCAAGACTGTAACCTCTATAACAGCTACACATGTACGAGCCTTGTGTGTTAGCACACGCTTGCTGACACGGCCGTGTCGTGTTACACTCGTCCACGTCAACACACGTGTATCCATCGCTAGCCAAACTGTACCCAGACCTACACGAACAATCATAACCCAAGTCATTATCTAAACAAATGTGCGTACACTTGGAAGTTCCTTTACTGCATTCATTCACAGGCTTACACAAAAACTTGAATATGTTTTCTTTAGAGAAATCTCGAAGTCCTACTGTGAACGAAGCTAAGTCAATAATCACACAGCACGGTGAACTATTTGATACAGTTTTGCATACATACGTAGGCTCGTTATATCCCCAAACTGTCACTAGTTCCCAAGTCCTCCAGTAATGCTGATAGTGATTATCGCTGTTGATGGTGTATAAAATCTGTACCCAAAACCTACCCAAATAATTTCTATCGTTCTTGACGTAATCATCCATGTAGATCGCTACGGCCCAGTACTCAGCGTTCGTGTCAAACAAAGCCAGCTCAGCGTTGATCTCGGCACATTTGTTCCTTGCTGTGGTCTCGTTGACTGAGGTGTTGGAGAACCAGTACGTCTGGCGGTTGATTGTTAAGTTCACGAACCCAGCGAGGGCTTTTGTTAGATTCGTCCCGTCTGTCAAACCTACGGCCGAGTCCGCCGACGCTGTTGACATTATCAAATTGCGATATCAAATTTATCAACAGCGATTAAGTTGTGAAGGAACTTCTACAAATGATTATTTTTAAAAATCATAATAACACGTTTGTGTGTTATGATGCCGTGGTCGTTTAGTAAACTGCTCGACTGCTAACCCAAAGTTCTCAAGTTCGGATCTCAGACTCCTGAGTCCACCCTGCTCTGATGGGTACTTGACTCACGTTAGGGAAAATAAATGTGGCGTGGCATAGCGCTGACCACACCATATTTTTGTTTTATTCGTTGATCATAAAAAATTACACCTTCATCTTTTTTTCTATGGATTTTCAAATGGGGAATATTATTGTTTTTAAGAATCTCTTTTTTTATTCGTTTATAATAAGATATGACATCTTCTACTCTAAAGATTTTCAAATCCAAAATTGGGAACATTCTTTAGAAGAAAAAAATGTTAGGGACTCCGATTTTGAGATAAAAAAAAACATTTATCTATTTCCATACGTAGTAGTAAACGTTGTGATCAATGCAAGTATCTCGAGAGCACAGAGTAAGTTACTTTAAGTTGGTACTTACCCAAGACGAGTAGACACAAGAAGGTACCAAAAAGTGCCATTATTTACCGTCTCAGCCAAGGCTGCCAAACAGTCCAAAAACAAATTCTGGACTGTCACTTTACACGTTTGATCTGGCTAAATGGAATATCTGGTTCAGAGGCGCTGATCGGTTGCTATGGACATTTTAACTTGCTGCAAGAGGATTTTAATTACCTAATCGAAACAAACATAACTAATTAATTAAAAGTACCACTTAACGTCTTTTTAAAATTCTGAATTTAATTGCTTTTAATTAGAAATTAAATTGTGGTTATGTTATATTTCACCACATTTACGATAATATAGCTTACGCCTATGTTTGCAACCTGAGTTTAACGTCCACAAAATGATCTGTCTACCGATAATCTTTTTCTTCTCACCTTTTATTTCTCTCTGCTTTACTCCTATAGTCATAATAAATAATAAATGATCAACAGGACATTTGATTGATTTTAGCAACTGAGTGTCTTCCCGCTTTGTGAAAGATTGTTTTGATAGATGAGCTTTTGATCGTACTACAGACGAGTCCAGCAACATTGGTCCTATATGATCTACCTTCAACATAAAATCTAAGCTCTGAATTATTCAGTGTGGTGTTGATCTAAGACAACACATCAAAGAGCAACAGCAACGATATAGGAACGCTGAAAAAGAAAGTCTGAAAAAAAATAGTCGGAAAAAAAATGTTATATTTAAATTCAAATTTAACTTAAAACTATTTACTCTTTATCCGTTAAATAAATTTAGGAAATGTTAATTATATTATTTTATTTTTGCGTCATGTTATTAATTAATTCATATGAGGTTGTTTTTACTTTCTCGTATACGGAGTATAGAGGAAGTATTGAAATCGTGATTAATAATTAATTTATATTTGGACATTTTTTGCTGCTTTGCACCTCTCTACATTATCATATACGGAATATAAAAGCATTGTAATGGTGCCTACAATCTAAATCGACATCTTTTAACAAATTTTGAAAACTAAGTATTTCCAATTTTGTCCGCCTGCTGTGTGTACGCGAACACGATAATTTGAGTTAAGTTTCAGTTAGGTTGACGAATTTTCCTCTCAATTTTTGAGCGATTTCCTACAACCGGAAGTGGTACATACTCCAATGTTCTATTCTTTATATTGATTGCGGGAATCATTACAAATATAAAGTAAAATCAATTAAAACTTGTATAAGTGACATTTCGTATCCCGTGTAACACCCGAATCAAAATGTATTCGGATTTTAATTTTACTGTATAAGTAATCAAAGAAAATGTATGCGACGCGTTGAAACGTTCTACTTGTTTAAAATCCAAACAATTTTATCAGTATCGTGATTGTGTTTCTAGAAAAAGAAAAACAGAATCGATGTGTCTTGGCATAGTTTTATTGATGTCGTCACGCTATCATTAATGGATGACGTGATATGTCCGTATAGGTGAAAGTATGCTTGCCTAAATCAATAAAACAGTTTATCCATTACATTCAAAAATTCTAACAGCCATCAATAATAGTTTAAATGGATTTCTACCGCCTGAGCATTTCCATTTATGGTTTTAAATTTTTTTTAAAGTCCTAAGTATAGCAATAATGCGTTTGTTCGATAAATCCTCAATTAAATATTGGAAATCGATTATTGATCCATGTTTAAATTGAGAGGTTGAATTGTTTAGCTTGTTTCTTAAACAAATGAATTTGAAGATATCTTTGGTTGATGTCAATGTTGATGTACACATGTGCGTTTGAAGCCAAAAATCAATCATGTTTGCTGGCTCGATGTGAAAAATACGAATGTTAATCCATCACAATTTTTATTGATAAAATTAAAAATGTTTAAATCACAAATTTGATAATAATGATGTACATTTAATAAACACATTAGTATTAGTTTTATTTGTAAATATTCACTCGTTATGACATTCACCACCAATATTTTTTTTTATTGTTGCGTAAAGATTACTGTGATACAATTATTCGAAAATTGTGTACAATCGTGACAGTACGCTGCATTTTTTACGGTTACAAAAACATGAATTTGGTATTACTTATGTGTTACAGCACAATCTAATCAACTAGATATGCTGCATAGCTTCGCTTAGGTTTTCAAAAAAAATTGAGAATTTGAATGCTTAATTAATTAGTGATTGCTTGTTATGTGTAGTGCTTACGTTTAAACAGTAACGCTAATTTTTGAGAAATTTTTGTTGTTGTTGTTGTTTGTTGTTTATAGCCCGTTTTCAGAGAGATTGATGTGATGTTCGCAATTTATGACTCAAAATGTAATGAGAAGTACAGAGGTTCCCTGAACAGTATAACTCCTAATTGATATTACATTGAAATTTTTAGATTTTAATGAAACAGTTCATTTCTTTATATTCTAAACTCGGAAGATGACGTCATTAATTCTGTGCTCTTTCCTTAGTGTAAACATTAGTAGCGTTCTTTTTCACAACTATAAACACTTTTCCGGTTGCATAATTAAAACTGTTTTTCTACATTCGAATATGCATTTATTTTTTATTTTTCTTCTTTAAATAAAATTGTGTTTATACATTTAAAACATCTAACATATTATTTTCAACATAAGTCCGTATCAAGTTCTCCATATATCGCTGAAGATTCTGATGTTATAGCCTGTAAAAATATTTTGCGGACAGAGAGAGAGAGAGAGAGAGAGAGAGAGAGAGAGAGAGAGAGAGAGAGAGAAGTACGCACATGGGCTTTTATATATTCGATTTTACATTTATGTTGCCGTCTTAGAGTTCTACTGTTTTCATTTTTTACATTATCTGAACAGTGAGAAATCTTTGTGATAATAAAGGAGTTTTTATTTGTTTCATCCAAGCATGATTTTCGTCAAAATATTTTTAAAAATCAAAGAAAAAAAAAGAATGTTTGTTCCGAATTTCACTTGTAAAACTTGTTCAGTAAATTTCAAAAAGAATAATTATGTCAGAGTATTTTGGTAAAGTTTTAATTTAATCAGCTTTTTATTTTGACTTGTAATTTGTAAATTATGTGATGTCATTATGCCAAAATTGATATCGGACTAACCATAAAAGTAAAGGTAGTTGCAATCTGCACTGGACGAACAATTACGGTATGAGCCGTATCGGTAGAAACAGATTAACTCTACTTCATCTGCTGTTACCTTCCAGAAAGCGCAGACTTAAAACTTATAAAAAAAATAAAGTGAAATAGTGAACCATTATTATAAATATTACGATGATATACCGATATTCAGCTGACATTTATATGCGCTCACAAATAGCTCCATCTTTAATTCATGCCAGGTACTCACTAAAGCTAAGTAAAGACGTGAGCATCTCTGTGGTTTCACCGGAGAAATAAGGATGTGATTACACGTCACCATGGTCAAAAATACTTTTATTTCGCCGATCACCTATTGAGCACATCGTCTCGATGAATCAATATCTGTTTATTTCACTATCGATCTCTAAGACCGCCAATACAGTGGAGATCTGTTACGTCAAGCGTATCTGTTTATTTCTTTATTCTGTTTCGAGTTCAACAGTCCGTGAATAATGATCGTGCTCATTCAAGACGAAGAGCCTCGCGTATAAGAGTTGCTTCCGGTTTAAAGAATTATGGGTATACGTTGTTATGCACAACAACACCATTGTATCGATGTCTCGACACTACTACTATTTGTTTGCATTTAACATCACGTGTGAATTTATATATATATATATATATATATATATATATATAATATATATATAGGGATATAGTTTGTTGTTTCTATGTTGCTAGTAATCAATTTATAATGCCTATGCTCTTTATGAAGTGATAATTGAAAACATAATTTAAATAAGTAATTTCGTTTTTAAACTCTACTAATTTCAAACAAAACACTTTTCAAAAGAATTTGGAGCAATACGCATTGTACAGTTGTTTTTCAAATATTTTAATTTTACAAATAACTATTTAAAAATGTAACACTACTTTACTGTCTGGATATCTATTCTTTATTTTTCAATATGACTCACGGAATGATGTATGTGAAGGGGGAAAAAAATAATTTACCCTATTATAAGTGTCAAAGTTAAATTAAGAGCTTTTCATTGAAGTGCAATTTGTCATTTTTAGAAATAACTAGAATACCCGTCATCCGTTGGATAACTGTGGGTTTCGGGGGTCATCCATCAAAAAACATCACGTCTGTCACTCAGAGGCATAGCGACCCTTCCCGGCGCCCGGGGACAAAGTTTTCGATTTGAACCCCCCCCCCCTCAAACTTTTGATGTGCACCCCCCCCCCCCCCCCACTCAAACTTTCGATTTGAACCCCCCTCAACCTATCAATTTATTTTTCCAAACCATTTTGGCGCCCCAACATATGCCCCCCCCCTTCCCCCTCCCCACCCCCCGCCTCCCCTTCCCCCCCCCCACCCCCCGCCTCCCCTCCCCTACCGTCCCCCCCCCCCCCCCTCGGTACGCTACTGCAGTGTCACTTATCGTCACAAAAAACAGACCCCACATTCAAATATATGTTTTTTATCTTTTAAAAACACCGAAAACACCGATTTCGGACTATCCCTTCATAAACTGACGTCACAGGTGACCTACTCAACTCTACTTCACCTGCCCAGTGTCCTGCCAAGTCTCAGACAACATGTTTTTATCGTTTAAAAAACAATTCCAGCCGAGCATGTATCTGACCACACTATCCTTTCATATGCTTAGGACAAAGAAACAGATGAACTCTACTTCACCTGCCCTGTATCTTGCCAAGTTCAGATAGGCAACGTTATCATTCACATCTAAAAAAAAAAAATTGAAAAAAAAAATTTCATTGACATATTGGTCTAGAACCTGTGCCTCCTGCGTGAGAGCTGACTACGCTACCATTTTAGCTATTTACTCGTGACGTCACAAGTGAATTTTTATACTATACTATGTATCTCCTTATGCAACTTGATTTACGGCGTATAGATTCTAGATCTAGATCTAAAAATAAGTCTAGTAGTACTAACTTTCAAATTAAATTTTATCTTAAATAAGCCAAACAAAGATTTATATAAAATAATTAAGGCCTGAAATAGATTCTAGATGTAGAATTTACATTAAGTCTAGATCTAGAATTTACATAGAAACCTAGTGACCTACATCTAGGCTAGATCTAGATCTAGGCTAGATTCATAAATTTCCTTCGATAGCTGATCTTTAGATCTAGAGAAATTTATTGTAAAACTAAATGAAAAAGACAGTTGAACATTGATATAAGTGTTGGAACGTAATAAATACAGAAAACGGACGTATTGTTAAAGTTATGACCGACAGAAAATTAGATTTAGAACGCGTTAAACTTGTGAATGGGAACACAATTTTCTTCGATAGACGCCGCCATTTTATTGTACTAAAGAGTAAACAAAAACCTGTGACGTCACGGTCCCGCCGAGTCTAGTGGCTTTTCAAATATTTTTTAAAAAAATGGGTTAATCTGCATATGAATAAATCAATTAATTAATTAACGTCTTTAAATAAATTTGTGATCAACAGTCTGTCTGCATTAAAAAATTATTCTCTACCTGCATACCATTTTACAGCTTTCCAGATAGAGTGGAACATATCACAATTTTCGATCAGGCAAACAAATAAATATTCAAACATGTAAACAAACTTGACTTTTAGTAGTATATAGATAACTTAATTGATTTTTTGTTTCACTTCTTACATTTTTGACCAAACAAACTATTTAATAAAGTAATTAGGAACAAAGTTCGACTGTTTGGGTCTTCAAATTTCACCTTAGTACCTCAAGTAGGGATACGATTACACTGTTGATTACAGTTTTTGTTTCTTAGTTGTAATAAGAATAAATAACGGAGCCTTCTAATCCGATAAGTATTCTATGCTATGCTATGTCATATCCAGAATTATTTACAAGTACATTTATGTAGCATGATGAATAAATAGAGGTCTTTAATCGAACTTTGCAATCTACCAATTAAGATTTGCGCGACTGAATTTGGATTTGTTTCAGTTATTTTATTCCGCGAATCGGGAGACGTGAAACTTTGGGGGTAAAGGGGGTGGACAATTGCTAATTTCTTTTCTAGTTAAATGTACTAGTTTTTTCATATTTCGTCCTAGGTTGGGGGCGTAACCGGCGTTCGTGCTCCGGTTGATTTCTTCTCTGTTTTAAAAAAATGATTATAAAATACACGACAGAAACAGCATCAGGAAAAACAATGCATCCAAATGTCAATACAAAGATAGCCACGCCGACATAGCCAAAAGTCTGTGAAGACTTTCTCGTGTCCACTGCACAAGTCTTACTTAGTTCGTACGCTGAAATATTTGTCTTGGAGACTGTTAAATTTTTTATCGTCTGCTTCGCTTCTTTCAAAATATTCTCTTTGGTCAGATGCTTTTGATTTGATAGATACGAACAGGGACAGGGGCAGAAATTATTGTCCACGTTTTTCAAACACGTTCCGCTCTGAGACACGGTGTAGCCTAAATTACAAGCGCAGTCAAAGCCACCTGGCGTGTTCACGCATCGCTGGTCACACAGGGTAGCGTTCTCTTGACACTCGTTGACATCCTGACACGTCTGACCGTCCCGGGCGTCTAGACGGTAGCCGGCCTGGCAACCGCATCTAAACGAGCCGGGCGTGTTGAAGCACACCTGGCCACATCCGCTGCTGTTGTCGCGACACTCGTCGACGTCCACGCAGCCTCGGCGGTCATGCGCGAGAGCATACCCGCCGCGGCATGCGCAGTAGTAACTTCCTTGTGAATTTTTACAAATCTGAGAACAATTATGTGTATCGCTTTGGCATTCGTTGATGTCTTTGCAGGAGTTTAACAACGGGGTGAATCCAGAATCACATCCACAAAAATATCCACCGTTCGTATTGGTACATGGCCCGGGGCATAGGGATGAATTTAATGTACATTCGTTAATATCCACGCATGACTGATTATCAAGATCAAGGATATATCCGTCAAGGCAAGTGCAAACGAGCGACCCGGTTGTGTTGGTGCAGTTATGGTCACACGGGTTGTCACTTGCGCATGCGTTGACATCAGAACACGTAGGGTAACCCGGGGTAATTCCATACACTACTTTTCTAAAAAATTTGTAAAAAATCTAAAATCAACACTACCACAATATAATATTGAGGGTAAAACTAGACATGCATTACTTATATGATGGCAAACAAATATAAAGATAATTCACAAAATAAAATACAATTTTTAAATATTTCACTTTTATTGCAAAAACATGGCAAGTGGGGCAATTCCACACACATTATGAAAATTTTAAAATTCATGTATTTAAAAATGTGTAAAAAACATTTTTCCCCTTGGAAACAATTTTGCATGGGGGCAACCAGTCTTCATCACTGGGTGAGGAGAAAGTCTCAATTTCTTCCTCCTGAATTCTACTCTCATCTGTCATAGGCCGAAGTTATTCGTTTATAATTGTGGACCATTCTGAAATAAATACAAAATTAAATGTTAGAAAGTTTAATTACTAATGTGTGTATGGGGATGTTTAGCTCTAAATATTGCATAAATTATAATAAATAATATAGGTACAGTAAAAATAATAATAGATAAAGAAATAAAAGAAGTATGTGGCAATTTTACTTAACTTTAATAGCAGAGTCTTTTTAAAAAATAAATAGTACTAGATCTAGTACTATTTAAGTATTTTTTAAGATTAAATCATGAGTTGTGAATTACAGAATTAGCCACAACCAGTTAAATTGGTTTAAAATAATAGCTAAACCCTCTAAAGAGTACAAAAAGCAAAATGGGACATTCCAAACTATAGTGTATGGAGTTGCCCCACACCATGTGTGTGGAATTGCCCCACACCTACTATTGAAAAAAAAAATGCTTTCCTGTTCTAAATTAAAGGCTGAATCTAGCATCATTAACTGTTACTATTAACAAAAATGATTAAGCTTTCATATAATCAATAAATAATTGACAACAATTAAAAATAAGACAAAAAAAAATATTTTTAAAAAAGTGCAGGGGTTGTACTTACCTAAGGATGTTCGAAGATAGATGCAGATAAAATTAAAATTCTTGCTCTGAATGTAGGTGAACGCTTCTCTAACAGTATCAGAAAGTACAAGAAATGACCTCTTAGAAACAGGGAATAGTAACTTTTAATTAAACTTTACTCTCATTAAAAATAGAGAGTATCCAGTATATAGTGTGTGGAATTACCCCGTGTGTGGAATTACCCCACCTTACCCTATACCTATCAGGCGCGAGTTCGAATCCTGAAGGGCAGCTGCAGCAGAAAGAGCCTAAATTATTGTTGCATGACACCTGGCATGGGTTGGGAAGTGAGCACTCGTCGATATCAACGCAGGTGAGTAAATCTGGTTGCAGGCTGTAACCAGGTAAACAGCTACAGATAAAAGACCCGTTGTTGCTATTACATATTTGCTGACACGGGTTTGATGAGCATTCGTTTAACTGGACACAGTCCAGTTGGTTTGATGCTAAGTTATACCCGCCGTAGCACGCACAGGTGAACGACCCGACTGTGTTGTTACACACCTGTGCGCATGGGTTCGAGGTGACACACTCGTCGATGTCTTCACAGTGTAATCCACCTGTACCTAATGTGTATCCATTACGACATCCACACGTATACGACCCATTTGTGTTTAAACACGTGTGTTGACATGGGTTATTTATAGCACACTCGTCAATATCGATACAGTGGTAGCGATCAAGGCTAAGCTCGTATCCGGGGTAGCAGCTACACGTGTAGGTCCCAACTGTGTTGTTACACACGTGCTGACACGGATTTGTCGCCGAGCACTCGTTAACATCTACACACGTCCAATTGTCCACGGCAAGCGTGTAGCCTGTGTTACATGAACACTGATACGACCCGAGCGTGTTGTTACACGTTTGTGAACACACTGGCGTCTTGGCGTTGGCGCACTCGTCCGCATCAACGCAGGTGAGTCGGTCAGCTGATAACGCGTACCCAGCATTACAGCTGCACGAGAAGGAACCGTTGGTGTTGGTGCATATCTGGCACGAGCTGTTCACGCTGGCGCACTCGTTCACATCCACGCACGTGCCTGTGGTTCCAGACTTGATCTCATACCCTGGGTCACACCCACATTTATAAGACCCAATCGTATTCTGACACGTCTGCGAGCAAGGTTTAACCACCGCGTTGCATTCATCAACGTCATTGCAATCAACCGCATTACCCGCCAACAAGTACCCGGCCCTACACGCGCAGTCGTATCCCAGGTCCTTGTCCACGCACAGCTGTGAGCAGTTAACTGACCCATCCGAACATTCATTTAGAGCCTTACACAAATACCTATGTGTCGACGAACAGTTAACATCGTTTAACCCTCTACTAATCATGTTAACGACAGCACAACACTCTGAACCAGAATTTTTACAAAAACTAGTTGGGTAACCTGTCGCCCAACGTCCGCTCCCAAGTGAACCATTTCTCCAAAAATGCTCGTAATATCCGTCATTATCAATATCTTTTGCTATAATGTCAATCATAACATCGGATATTAAATGTGTAAACGCCCATGCCAAATTCATGACGTTCAATGCGCCGCCGTACTCCTGGTTGCTATCAAATAGTGCGAGCTCGGCGAAAATCTGGGAGCATTCTTTTTTGGCCGTGGCTGTGTCTACTGCGCTTTTTGAAAGCCAGAAAGTCAAGCCACTAAACGTCTGCTTTGAAAAGTCGGCTATTGTCACCCCTACGACGGTTGTGGTAGCTGCAGTAAAGAAAATAAAAAAAAAAATTTGCACTGTTTACTGACTTTAACTAGGGTACCGAAAAGTAAAATGTACACATTTTACATCTAGAATAATCTAAAACATAAATATTATCATAGTTTTTTTTTTATTTGAACGTGTGTATAAATTATAAGAATTATTACTTAGTTTTACTTACCTACAGATAACAGAACAAGATGTAAGATAATTGCGTATTTCATTTTTTGATTCGGTCTAAACTAAGTTTTGCAAATATTCTGAGAGTTATAGAACAATATCGGCGAGTTTGAAGTTTGTATCTTTTTACACAATTTTTGTAAATTTCAATAATAAAAAAAAACCTGCAGTCTTCTAAGAATCTCCTCGAATATCTCTATTACGTGTGCAACTCTCTGTCTTATGAAGAAACATATTTGCATATGATTCGTCGGTTTTCGTTGGTGTCAAAAAAATCGTTGACGATGAATGGCGCGGAGCACTTCTCCAATCATGGGATCAATATTCCACATTGATGACTCCGTTAACGGTTGGGCGGGGGGGGGGTTGCTTTGGTATCGCTATTCTACTATTGGATGTTTTGATGTTAGATCTGTGTTTAGTGAAAATGTGAGGGGATTAGGGAGAAACGTGTTGGTCTAACTGCATTTTGGCCTAACTAACTTAATATAATAAGGTTCCTTTTTGTTGATTTTAATTGAATTACAAGTCAAATAAACAATCCATTTTTAATTACACAACAAAAATATTAAGAACACTACAAAATATTTAAAATAAAAGAAACATTGAATATAGATATTTAATCTGTGCCATTCTATGACATCAACATTTTTGTTTTTGATTTACAGTTGCAACTCAAATTGCATTAATTTAAAAAAATGTAAAAAGCTAGCGTTTTTTTTTTCGCTATAATACATTCCTAAATTACTTATGCTAAATAATTCGTCTACCTCCACCGATTGAGTTTCTGTAAAACTCCTATCAACACTCCGAACCAAAGTATTGTATTTTATTATTTCTTGTTAAAGTTCTCGTCAGACTAAACCCATTAATGCTTACCCCACAAAGCGACCATTCGTTACTTCGAACATTTTAATAACACGTCACGCTTTCAGGAATCGACCTGGGGTAGAATGAACGTCAGGTAACGTAGGTCAAACGTCCACTTAAGTGCTCATTCGCATCGTTGTGAAAACATTTTACGCAAAGTGCAAAACGTCGTTGAATGAGACTTCAGTGGGTTTCAAACCTAAAGAACAATACCCCTTTTGTTTGCTTGCATTTTTTTTAAAGATGCCATTGTTTTTTTTCTCTTGGTGACAGATAAGACTTAAAGATTAAACAACGGTGTTTTTTTAGATATCATAAAACTAACTTGATTTTTCAAAGATACTTTTATGTGGTTTAAATAAGGTTAGTGTTGCATTTAGTTGAAACTATGTGCGTATTATTAAATGTTCTTTGAAATATTGTTAGAAATCTTAAACGGGGAAATTATATATTTTTTCGATTAAAACGAGAACTAATATAAACAAAGCCGTAGAGATCTCCCCTAAACTTTATCGAATTATTTTATATAACAATAAGAGTTAGTTTGGCACATCCAATAAGACAAGGCTAATGAAAGTATGGGCGTCAACGTCATTACAGGTGATGTTGTCGCGTGGGTCAAGCAGGAAGACGGGGTTACAGATTCAGACGTAAAAGCTGTTAGTGTTTCTGCAAAGTCCGTTATATTGGTTTGTTTTGACCAGACATTCGTTAATGTCAAGACAAGAATAACCGTCTGTACCATGAGTGTATCAGCTTGGACACAAACATGCGTATGAGCCGTTTGTGAAGGTACAGTTGTATTGGCAGGGGTCGAGATCTCGTATTCGTTGATATCGTCACATGATTTGTTATCTGGGTGGAGATTAAATCCTGCTAAACAGCTGCGTGTACACGATTCAATGGTGTTGTTACATAAATGTTGACAGTTATCTGTAAGTAGTTCACATTCGTTGACGTCATCACAACTGACCGAATCATTATTTAAGATGTATCCACCAGACTCACAACTGCATTGGTATGACCCATTTGTGTTGTTACACATGTGTTGCCCTACACACGTATGAACCTTCTGTGTTATTACACACTTGTTGACACATGTTATCAGACTTAGCACACTCATCAACATCAACACACAAGCTTGTGTTGCTGTTGTCTACCTTATAGCCCACATTACATCCACATATGTAAGAACCAGCTGTGTCGTTACACACTTGCTGACACGGCTTGGTTGCTTGGCTACACTCATCAACATCTACACATTGACTAGGGGCAGTTTTGTTTACTGTGAAACCATGGTAGCATCCACACACGTATGCTCCATCTGTGTTGTTACATTCTTGTTTACACGTATTATATTGCTGACTACACTCAACTATATCTACACATGTGCTTGCGTCAGATGTGTTTACTGTGTAACCATGGTAACAGCCACACTCGAAAGATCCATTCGTGTTTTTTACACTTGCTGGCACGGCTTGGGTGTCTGACTACACTCATCAACATCTACACATTTGCTTGTGTTGGCTTTGTTTACTGTGTAACCATGGTAACATCCACAGACGTATGATCCATTCGTGTTTGTGCATTCTTGTTGACACGGTTTAAAATCTTGACCACACTCATTAATATCAAGGCAAGTTCTCAAATCACCCTTACCGAAATATAAAAATAAAATGAATAATCCCGTGAGCCAATTCATCGTGATGCTATAATGTCTCCTCCAGGAAAAATGACCAGGATGGTCGTTAAGAAGTATACACTAAACCTGACCAGTCTCTACAAGTGCTAGCTGACTTATGATGTAACACTGGCAGGCTCTCCTGCTATGTATAAACTTTTGTTCCCACCCAGCTGTAACGAAGTGATCTACTTCGTTACGATTATTGTTATATCGGTCGTCTGCCAGCCTCATGGTCAGGTACACACGTCTTGAAAGGCGTAGCTAAGGGTGGGTGCGAAACCTAGACGGCGCTAAACGGGGTAGAACAAACATTAAAATATTATTTTGAAATGCGTTACTGAATTATACAGTTTCGAAATTTAGAAATTCGACGACTAATATTTACATTCCGTTTTTAAAAAAATACATAAATTGGAGTGGGCAATGTTTTTACAACGTAAATAACTTTGTTAGTGGGTGGGGCGCAAAATTGATACTACGCCAGAATGGACCACTACGCCTTTGCCTATCACCTTACCAGACTGCTATTTTATTATTCATACACAGTTGGAACGTACCTATTGTCCATTTCTTGCAAATTGTATATAGTGGCACTTAAAGCACTGAGAATCCGAGACGTTTTACCGGCTTGAAGCGACTTGCGTGAATGATTGTTTGTTTAATCTATGTTTGGATGAACGAATTAACAATTGTCGTTCTTCTTCTCGAGGCATATTTCCTTCATTGTTGGTTATTTATAAAATTGCTCTAAGACAGTATGTATATGAGGTCAGTTTACATTTTTGGACGTAGAGAAAACTCAAAGTGATCAAAAATTTTGAATCTATTACAATCATTCAAAACAACACTTACGTAGCAAAATATATTAGGAAACGTGTCCATTCTTTAAACCAAAACATTGTGATACGATTATTTGAACGTCTTGAACATTGACCAGTTAAATACAACTTCTTAGGGAAGTCTGGTGTAACATTCGAAGTTCTCAAGGTCCTTAGTTACGTCAATTGTCAACTAACATTAGCTAGTCTTCTATCTACTTTCAGAAGTTTGCCATAATTCTTATCTTCCCCAATCGTCATTGCATTGTTCATTCATTTCTCCTCTGAAAATATTATTTCATTGTTCATAAACATTTCTACAGCACCCCTGTCTGTTTTTTAAACGAACCCATTTAGCATCGTCCCAGCCACTTAAAAGAAACCAACTCACTTTCCGAGCTCAAAGCAATATGAACGACTAGTTGTTTGTTCATTTAGTATTTTGATGGATTAAGTGAGATGTTTTGTTTTACATTGTTCGTGGTTTCTCTACGTCCTAGCAATTTGTGAACTTTCCTCAATGATATTTTGTCTTTGTTTTCTTTTCAGTTCCGTGGTAGAATGCAGAAAAATGTAAATAATTCAATGTAAATGTTTAGATCATGCGATTCCTTTTTTTTTTTGTGAGGGTGTGAAGGATGAAAGCCTTTCTAATTTTGATGTTACAAAGACATAACAATTATATAAGAGTAGTTATTGTAAAAACAGAAGAGTGTAGCAAAAAAGTATACGATAAAAGTAATCAATAGCAGCACCTACTCGCACTTACCATATAGGTAACAGGAAGTTGTGCGAAGGGTAACCTTAAATAGAGAACTTCGCGGTATGGAGATATGTTGATCAGTGAGTGATGCTTTATGGAGAGAGATGTTTAGTGGAGAGTGACGCGGAATTTAAAAAAAAAAATATTGCATACGAAAAGTAGTTATAAAATTACAAGCTTTCATAAAATAATGCACTAAAATAGAGAAAAAATGTTAATAAATTTGAAGAGTAAAAACAATCATTAAAAACACGCAATCTAATATTTGTATTGTTTTGTCAGCAATAAAGAAGAACTATACAATATCTACATAATGTCTTGTTCTAAAAGGGTAGAGTATGAATGTATCGTGCTATCAATGTATTTTAAAATATAAAACATCAATACAAATTGTGCGAATTTATATTTAAAATGTGGATTCTTGCTTTTGTTGCATGTCGTTCTGTTCCGGTGAAAACTGTTTTAGCTTATACCATTCAACAATATGTACTACAACAGTAACAACATCAGGTAAAATTAGAACAAGCAACGTCAGAACCAAAAGTACAATGCCGAACATGCCAACTGCTGTTGCTGAAGGTCGTGGATCTTCGGCGCAGACGATTTTCTGAGAATGTGATGTCAGATTCTTGTCGTCTACAGTCAGACGTGTTTGGGTAACTTTTGCTTCTGCTCTAGCTTTAGACACGGTGATCGTCTGCATCTTGATCTGGAAAAAACAGTTTGCAAAGCAGACAGCGTATGTTGGAAAGAAGACGCAATCTGGGTCGGATTTGTTGGTGTAGGTGGAGTTGCATTTACATAAGTAGGAGCCGATGGTGTTGATGCAGATGTGGTCACATTGAGCTGTTTTTGTTGCACATTCATCGATGTCAAGGCACGTGATGTTGTCACGTGTGTCAAAAAGATAACCAGGACCACAGCTACAGGTATAAGAACCATCGGTGTTGGTACAAAGTCCACTGCAAATATGTGTACCAACCAAACATTCGTCAATGTCCACACAAGAAGAGCGGTCAGTATCTAGAGTGTATCCACTTGGACACAAACATGTGTAGGAGCCGTTTGTGTTGGTACAGTTGTATTGGCAGGGATTCGAGATCTCGCATTCGTTGATATCGTCACATGATTTGTTATCTGGGTGGAGGTTAAATCCTGCCAGACAGCTGCATGTAAACGATCCAATGGTGTTGTTACATAACTGTTGACAGTCGTCTGTAAGTAGTTCACATTCGTTGACGTCATCACAACTGACAGAATCATTACTCAACGTGTACCCAATCTCACAACTGCATTGATACGACCCATTTGTGTTGTTACACATGTGTTGACATCTGTCAGTAGTCAGAGCACACTCGTCAACATCTACACACGCAAGTCTATCCTTTGCTAGTGTATACCCATCGTTACAACTACACACGTAGGAACCTTCTGTGTTATTACACACTTGTTGACACATGTTATCAGTCGTAGCACATTCATCTATATCAACACACAAGCTTGTGTTGCTGTTGTCTACCATATAGCCTACATTACATCCACATATGTAAGAGCCAATTGTGTTGTTACACACTTGCTGACACAGGTTTGTTGCTTGACTACACTCATCAACATCTACACATTGACTAGGGGCAGTTTTGTTTACTGTGAAACCATGGTAGCATCCACACACGTATGCTCCATCCGTGTTGTTACATTCCTGTTGACACGGATTAGATTCTTGACTACACTCATCTATATCTACACATGTGCTTGCGTCAGATGTGTTAACTGTGTAACCATGGTAACAGTTACACTCGAAAGATCCATTCGTGTTGTTACACACTTGCTGGCATGGCTTGAGTGTCTGACTACATTCATCAACATCTACACATTTGCTTGTGTTCGTTTTGTTTACGGTGTAACCATGGTAACATCCACATATGTATGATCCATTTGTGTTAGTACATTCTTGTTGACACGGTTTAAATTCTCGACTACACTCATCAACATCAAGGCATGTTCTCATAATGTTTATGTCCAATTCGTAACCATAGTTACAACCACAAACAAAAGACCCATTCGTGTTTCTACACACTTGCTGACACGGGCTCGGCACCTCGTTGCACTCGTCCACATCAACACACCTACTTTCGTTTTTGGGGTTCACGCTGTACCCCGGGTAACAATCACACGTGTAGTTTCCGATCGTGTTGTTACACACTTGCTGACACGGTCCTAGCGTCGCGTTGCACTCGTCAACATCAACACACAACATGGACACGTTATCCAGTTCATAACCAGCCTTGCAGGTAATTCCCGAACACGTGTGTAAACAGTTCTCGTCTTTACACTCGTTCTTCACCTCACATAAAACATAGAAACCTACCCCGCAACCCGCGTCCATCAACCCGTACGTTGAATACATAGCAGCACAGCATGTATCATTTCCAGTGTAGGTTTTACACGAATTAAATGGGTAGATCCAGTACCATAAACTTTTATTGATTGGCTGCTCGGCCCAGTAGAACTCAGGGATCTGATCGTTGTTGTCATCGGCAGTTCGAATATGTATCCATATGTATACAGCACCGTAAGAAGAAAATTTTATGCCGGTGATTGCATTCGTGTACTCTGTTTGATTTTTAAAAAATACCATCTCGGAATTGATGTCGGAGCATTTTTGTTTGGCCACCGGCATGGTTGCTACTGATTTTGATAGACAGTAATTGTGATCTTGGAAACTGATTGTCCAAAAATTTAGATCTGTGGTTGTGTCTGCAAGTGTAGACGCTGTGAGAAATTATTTAATTCTTATTAATTAGGTATATAAAAAGTTTACTATAAAAATGATTGATTTGAATAAAATAAGTACTGATGTTTATCACATACTCTTAAGAACGTTTAGTACATTGATCTTGGTCGAACTCAAGTGAGTCATTAGGTAGGATATCATCAGATGCGGTAACTGATTGTATCATCCCCCCCCCCCCCCAACCCCCACAAAAAGTTATGAGATACTGATTGGTATTACTTCTCTCACCCATATTACTATACTCATTTTTCTAATTCTTTTAACAGCATGAAACAATGATTTTTCAGTAAAATTTTCAATTTCTGAAATGTGTTGTCACCCCTCCAAAATGGTGTCATATGCATCTTCCCACCCCCCCCCCCCCCCCCAACCCCCCGCCTTCCTGCGTGTGACGCTACTAGTTTGATTGGTGATCAGCGATTCTTTAAGATGACAAGACAACAAATGTTTATCGGTTTGACAAAGTTGCCTCTGGTTTAATTGCTGGGTGTTCCAAAAACACCGGAGACCTTAGCACAGAATGTTAAGTCCAAGGGAAATACTAAAACTTGTCAAAAAAATCAGGACTCTGTACATGCCCATATATATTTAGACTTGAGCACAATACTTATTTTAATTAAGGCAAAACTGGTTATTTGTAAAAAAAAAAAATTATTTAAAAAATCGTTCAATTAAATGCGATTCAAAGAAATAATTATGAAAGTTTAAAGCCATACGTACCGAAACATATCAAGAGAAGTATTAATTCTACCAGCCACTTCATTGTGATGCTAATATTTGTCCTGCATTAAAACTGTATTTTCGACTCAAATAGCGTCTGTTGTAAACCAACACTGACCGCTGTGTTTTACTATTTACAAACGTCTTATGTAACTCTGTCCAAGATTTCCAGCTTCATAAAAACGTATGTTCTAACCCTACAATTCCATTGCTTTACATCTTCCTATTGTAATTTGCTGTTATCTATTTTTTCCAAATGACTCCTGGTGTAACTTAAGAAGAAAGGCTCCGTTAAAAAAACAACTTTTTATAATACTAAAGAGCACACAATTTTTAACACTGACCATTCGGTCTAAATCCTTCACAGGCTTCTGTTGTAATACTAACCTAATGTTAACTAAACTCTTCTACTCTTTATTGTAATTCGCTGTAATCTACCATCTCCTAGCATCGTAGGCGTATTCACCCACCTCCATTCTGCACATATTATTTCATAATTCATGCACACTGCAAGAGAGCCTTATGTCTTTTTCGTTATTAAGTTATTGTTGCGTCATAGCAAATACTCAGAGACCGATACGCTTTCCTAGCATAAACAAGCTTGCTTGAATACGTGTTTATATAATCAGTGTTTGGATGAATACATTAAAAAAATCTTTAGTATGCTGTGGCGTAGTTTTTGCTGTTCTGTCAAAATATTTGTTAGCCTCAAGATATTATGTATGCATTTTTTTTTTTCATTTTAAGTGGTAGAAAACATGAGGTGTTATACTTATGTGTATAGATTCATTGTTGTATTCTATGATAAGGTTATTAAGGATGTCATGATGACGTTTGTTGAACATGAGGTATTATTTCAAGGTTTTCATTAAAAACAGATAGAAAATAGTTTTTTTGTGTAAAGAAAACAGAGTGTAGTTATTAAGGATGTAACAGCAATCGACAACAGAAATGAATTGAATTCAACTTGATATACATATAGAATTGCTACACAGCGACTACTCATTACACAGATATGCTGTCGATCGCCATCTGTTTTCCATATCCGGTATGTAAAAAAGGATTTTTTAAAGAAAATAAACGTACAATACATGTGTTTTACGTTTATGTGCTTAGTGATACATTTTGAAGATGGAATCGAAACATCCTGTCTCTGTATTTATTTATTTTAGAAATCTGATAATTTTGAATTCATTATACATTTTAGCTACTTTTACTCACAGAAAATGGAAACACATTTTTTTAAAGAGAGAATGGGAAGAAAATATATTGTGGAAATAAATGCGGATTTTTTTTCCCGGGCTTCTGATCCCGTATTGAGTAGTGTGTGTTCCAACAATTGGATGTTGCATCATTGGCTTTATTGTTGATGCTTGGAGCAAAGATGAATTATAGTTCTTCATGCTTCTGTAACAGTACTATATGGAGAGATTGTGTGGCCTGTTCTTTGTCCAGACATCCTTACCTTATCCGACATAGACAGGCTACTCTTTACAATTGGGTGGAATCTGAGTTTCTCAAATAAATATTGAACCAATAGAATTTCGTTGATAGCACGATAAAATAAAAGCATTATATAGACATCTTGATTCAATTTTTAGAAAATGAACTAACAATCGAGAGTGTAAAATTATTACATTTAATGATACATTTTAATGATGTCGGGTCATTACCAACGTGCCACGTTTGAAAGAAATTGGTCCTGTAAAAGTGGTCAACATTTTTCTCCGCTTGTTACCACCCATGACTGGAACTTTGCAATTTAAAAAAATATAACAGACAGACAGAGGAAGCAAGTTAGATAAATGTTTGCATTTATGTTGTTTAAGAAAACTCAAACACGATAAGTAAAAAAAAAATATACATTTGTCACTTGTTTAAACATATCAACTTAAAGATTTATAATACTTGATATATATAATAATAGAGAAATAATATAAAGTTTAAAAATTAAAGTGTCTTTTTTAAATACAAAATGTATTGACACATATTCGAGTTTCATTGCTAATAATATGTATGTTCTTAAACTACAATTAGCATCACACTTTTAAAAAGCATCAAGAAAAGATAAATCATTTACTAACATTAATAAAAACCAATTTTTTTTTATTGTTTCCCTTTACATTTTCATTTTATTAATTACAAAATATCAGAGCTTATTTTGTTATTGTTTTGTACAACTATAACAACATTTCACATTTTTTTTGCGTATACTACGATTTACTTTTTAAAACAAATCTTTATTGTTTTATGGATTTTGTGTAGGAAAAAAACTTGTTTTATTAGTAGTTTATCTTCATTTCCTTACACATTTAAACAAAACAACAACTCCAAGTTGCATTGATATTTTAAAATCTTCTTTCTAATTATTACGTAAATACAAAAGGTTATCTTTATTATTGATAATAATAAAGAGGTTATTAAAATTTTAAAGATAATATTTCAATTTGCTGTTTGACTGTGAATTTGGGGTTAAGTTTAATATTATGGTCAAGTTAAAATTTAAGACACAATTAAAAGATAAAGAAACGTGAAAAGGGGAACAGTGTTTTATAAATCTGACTGATTTTTACTTTCTCGTATATACGAAGTATAGAGAAAGTCTTGTAATCGTGCAAAAAAAAAAATCGAGATTTTTGCAAATCTCGACGTTTTGCATCTCACTGATACGGAAAAACATAATTTTGCAATCTTGTCCGTATGTCTGTGTGTCTGTGTGTGTGTGTGTGTGTGTGTGTCCGTGTGTAAACACGATAACTTGAGTACCTTTATAGCTAGGTTGATGAAATTTCATATATAAGTATTTAATCAAAATCGTAGATCCGTATCAACTTTTGAGCGATTTCCGATAACCGGAAGTGGTACTTTTCCTACTTTGAATTTTTCAAAAGCCTATAACTTGAGTACTATTTCAGATAGATAAATGAAATTTCATACGTAAGTAAAAGATCTAATTCTCTACCTTCTATTAAATTTTGAGTCATTTCCGTTGACTGGAAGTAGAGTTTTACGCTACTTCCGATTTCTCAAAAAACTAATGTAAATTTTAAAAGTAATAATAATATTGCGCACTATTATGCGCTTTTTTATTTCGCGTTCACTTGGTGTGCAATTAATTTGTCTACGAGATTTTATTCTATTTTTAAAACTTTAAGTATTTAAAATGGATTAAAAATCATGTCTATAGCCCGAGTTCCCATCCCCTGTTATTTTATATAAGAATATTTGAGAAAGTTTAGGGGAGATCACTCCCGGTTTATTTTTATCATCATGTTATTAATTTGAAATAGTGAGGATGGTGCAATTTGTATTATATAACACATTGGAGAAGCGGGTGGTTTATATATAATTATAATGTAAAAATATTGTGACTGATGTATCAAAAAAATAGTAAATATTCCCTTTCAGACCCATAGGGCAGATGAAATAGAGTTCATGTTTCTTGACCTCGACATATGAAGAGATGGTGTGGTTGGAGCATTATGTCCATTCGTGTTTAATTTTCCCCATCATGAGATAGGTACCCATTTTAGCTCGCTAGACTCCTTGCAGTCCTAAAGTCTCAGTTCCGAACCGAGACACAAACTCATGAAATTTGGAATTGTTGAGCTACCCTCCGGGGGGAACTAACGTTTGAACTTAAACTATGGAATGTTGTCAAACATTTAAAAATGGTTTCCTACTCTATAGAATGTAATGGTGTATAACAGAATTTAAATTGGCCTGTTTTGTGTACTCTTTAGTTTTGACACATTTTTTTAAAACAAAAAAAACAACATTCAATTCGAGAAAATATCCGTACGCTTACTCTGAAACACCAAGTAACGCTCTGTCCAATTTTATCAAAACATTCGGACGTTTCATTAAGGGTAAAGGTATTTTAAAGTTTCGATAGTTCTACACCATAAAAAGGTCTAAATAGTGTATTGCAAAAACTATTTCTTGAGGTGGATTTAATTCAATGTTATGAAACTTAGCTGTACTTTGACACTGCTCAATAGAAAGTGCATCAATGTTTGTTAAAATGTAGTTTCTTTGTTGTTTGTCTCACCGTTACGTTCAGATAAAGTAAACTTCGCCTTATACAATGTTACAAAATGTACTACAACAGTCACAACATCTGGTAAAATTAGAACAAGCAACATCAGCACCAACAGGACAATGCC